GTAGCATGGCGTATAGAGCCGCGAGAGTAATTCCCTGCTTCCTGGTGTAATAGATAGCAGTACAATGGTCACAGCGAGGCCAGTACTAGCCCTCGCAAAGAAATGCCGGTACTTTGGGATACACGTGTGAGGCAAGTGTGCGGACCTTATTTTCTGAAATTATCTCCAAACTTTCATTGCCGCCTTCTTTAATAATCGTCCTATCATTGCAGGGTTTTTGCGTGCATTTATTTCGAATTGGGTGAAATTTTAGGGCTCGCAAACCGCTAAGCGCCCCAGCGAGCATTGCCGAAAATTCTGCGTGCCATTGTTCCCAGTGGTGCCTGACATGACGTGTGTGTGTGTGTGTGTTTGTTTGTGTGTGCGGCATGATGATTTGTGTGTCTGTGCGAACGCCTCACAGCATTGTCCAGCCTGCTGGCTGGTATGTCTCTGGACCTGAGTGCCTACGTCATGTCGCTGGGAAAGCGTATTGCTAGTAAGTCTCCTCCTAAACCAGTCAAGTTATCCCTGTTGCATTTGTGTGGTGTGGTGTGTGTGTGTGTGTGTGTGTGTGTGTGTGTTGTTTGTTTGTATTCTTTATTTAGAGTGGGAAGTCCAAAACAGGCCCTAGCCTACACTAGTGAGGGAATGCTGTGTAGGTGGCGTGTGTGTGTGGCGTGTGTGTGTGTGGGGGGGGGGGGGGGGGGGGTCGGGCAGTGCCCATGTCCCCTCTCCCCTATGGAGTTGTAGCATGCTAGTGTTGCCGGTGAGTCTTTTCCTGTTGTCACAGTTGCATTATGGGGTGGGGGGTTGGGAGTGGGTCAGTGCCCCGTGCCCCGCCTGTAGGTGGAACTTACCCGTGTTTGCAGCCATACTCCAGCTTTAAAGATACATGTACCGCACACACTTCAGTCACAAGTACTTGTACGGGGTTCTTCCTTTCTTTGCGCTGTCTTGGTGCAACCTGCTCTTCCCTTCTTGCCGGCTATGAGTTGCATTTTCACCTGCTGCAGCCCGCTAATCTCTTGTCATCTGTGTAGTTCACGGCTCGCATAGCCCACTGCTGCAGTTCACAGCCCATTTACTGCACTATTGTTGTTCACAGCTGTGGTTCAGCTCCTTTACCCACAGCTGTGGTTCCCACTGCGCCCCTTTGGGGTTTTTTTTTTGACGTGGACAACAATTATTTATTTGGGTAACAATGAGAAAAAGCAAAGCTAAACTACCGTAAAAGCCCCTGTATACGCCCACTCGAACTTACGCCCACCCTCCGTGTACATGCCCAGTCAGGGGAAGTCAACACTTTTGTTTCAAAATAGCGCCCATGCCCATGTATATGCCCAGGTATGCCGGAACCACCAGTACATGTACAGGTACTGATACCCAGGCAATACTTACTGCTATCCCTATTCCCAGTATACGCCCGGTTCCAAAATAACGCCCGTGCCCATGTATACACCCAGGAAATCGAGGCTGCTATTCTATATGCCCGGGGCCTATACACGGGCTTTTACGGTAGTGCTAAACTGGGCCTACACGTAATCCTCACCCCTTATTCTCGTGCTAAACTCGGCCTAATCCTCACGCCTTATTCTGGTGCTAAGCTCGGCCTAATCCTCGCCCCTTGTCTGAGGTCTTAGAGCACTGCTTGGCAGCTTTTTACTGTTATTTGAACTTGTTTCTTGCCAGGTTGCAGATTCCAGTTCCAGGCTTTTGATTCAATTTTTTGATATTTGTTGCGTGCGTGTGTGTGTGTGTGTGTGTGTTTGTGTGTGTGTGTGTTTGTGTGTGTTTGTGTGTGTGTGTTTGTGTGTGTGTGTGTGTTTGTGTGTGTGTGTGTGTTTGTGTGTGTGTGTGTGTGTGTTTGTGTGTGTGTGTGTGTTTGTGCGTGCGTGTTCGTGCTTGTACTAGGTCAGCTGTACAGTCAGACCGCTAGTCGTCGTGATGAAGCTGTCAAGGCCATCATCAGCCTCTCCAAGCAGTGCAGTGATGTCACTGCCGTCACCGACTTCACTAAACACCTCTTTGCCATTCTCGCAGGTCAGTGTCAGTGTGCATCTACAGTTGCGCTCGGTGAAATCCGACCCAAATTGCAAAGCTCGCGCCTTGGACCAGTTCCGATTGCATCACTGTATTTGCACATGTGTACGTCCAGCCGCATTCGTACCACTTCCAGGGCGTCAAGGGCCGTGCAAGCTGAAGGTGCCAAATATGCACTTTTGGTCGGATTTCATCGAGCGGACCTGTACTTTATAGATGGGAGACAAACTTGCTTGTGATGCTCGTGATGTAGCAAACGATATAGTTGTGTGTGGCATGCTGCATCGCTTAAATCTTTCCTCTGCCTGCTCTACTCTTCTCTGTGTTCCTGTCAGGTGCGGAGGGCAAGTTGACGGCCTCTGAACAGCGCGTTAGCGTCTTGTCAGGTATGCTCCAGCTGAGGCGTGTTCAGATCGCAAGCGTTTCACATTCACACGCATTTGTGCACACACACACACACACACACACACACACACACACACACACACACACATGCATGCATGCATGCATGCATGCATGCATGTAAGCACAAACGCGGACACACACACTTGTACTTGTACTTGCTCACTGCCAGAGACTGGCCACATGGGTCTCACCTTGGAATAGGGGAGACACACGCGCACACACACGCACGCTAACGTTTAATTTGTCTTTTTCCGTGTGCTGTGTTTAGCTATTGGCGCTATGGCAGGCAATACTGTCGTCGGTGCTTCGTCCATTCAACCGCTCATCGAGGGTGTAATCAAGCAGTTTTTGCCGATTCTGCAGCAAGAAGGTACGTTGGCCCCTTGTTACAACTGGCAATACTGATACGCCCATTGCGCAATGACTATACGTCTGTAGTTTGTATCAGCAACACCACCCTTCACAGCAGCCACCTGTAGATAGGGTTGTGTTGAACAGTGCATTCCTGATCTTATTGTACTCTGGAGAGTGGTCCAGGCATCATCCTCTTGTGTATTCCTTATTTGAGGCGAGATCAAGTGCCGCGTTGGCATCGTCAGGGCCACCAACTAACTCTCGTTTGTGTGTATTTGTGTGTGTGTGTGTGTGTGTGTGTGTGTGTGTGTGTGCATGCATGTACGTGTGTGTGTGCATATGCATGTATGTACGTACACGTGTGTGCGTACATACTACAGTACACGAACAGACATTGTCCCATGCCATCATGCAGCTAGCAGCATGGACCCAGCGTTTGCCCACCAGCGCTCCAGCCGACTTCCTCGCTGCTGTCAAGGTACGTATCTTTGTCCGTGTGCTTGCAATGCCTTGCTATACAGTGTTGTGAGGGGGAGTGTGTGTTGGGTATGCCGTCACTTTCGTTGGGCTGACTGCATACGCGTACACACAAAGTTCCTCCGGAAACAAAAAAACCACATGTCGACGGGATAGCTAAGGTTCTTCTCGAAACGTAGATGCTTTGTTTATGAAAATCGGTGAAGGAACACCAGAGATAGGCTGTGAATCCGAAAGACGCAATTTTTTTGTTTCCGGAGGAAATAGATCCAGCCTTAGGACACCACGCGTCTATCAATCTTGCTTTGTGCAAGCCGGTGTAGCACCTCTACTGCTGGACAGTGTGCGGGAAGTGGGGACCTGACATGATTGTGTGCGTGTGTGTGTGTGTGTGTGTGTGTGTGTGTGTGTGTGTGTGTGTGTGAGTACATGGCTTTGTGTCTGTGTGTGCATGTGTTTTGTTTGTGCATTTCGAACCCCTGTAGAAAAACATGTCTCTGAAGAGTGCCTCCTCGCCTGTCCGATTCTGCTATCTACATCTGCTAAGCCTCACGATGAAAGGAAACCTCATGTCCCAGGGCTCTGACGTGCTGCCCATTCTTTCGCAGGTACGTGTGTTTGTGTATGTGTGTGCGTACCTGTGTGCGTGTGTGTGTGTGTGTGTGTGTGTCCCATATGGTGCAGTGGTATGTGCAGTCGATTTCCAATCGAGAGGTTGCGGGTTCAACTCCCGACGATTATGGTCGCACACGTCTTTCTTCTCTTTCTCATTCTCCTGGGTGGTTACCAACAGCCAGTGTATGCCGGAGTATGTGGTGTGGTGTGTGTGTGTAAAAAAAATGAAAAATAGGGATTCACTGGCCAGGAAAAGCCACTTCAGTCAGCTGTGTGGTGAATACCAGGCTAAAATTAGTGGCGGTCAATTCATCAGCCTTGCAAGCTGTTGAATGGTGTAATCCCAGCACAAGTTGCTATGTCTAACATAGCTGTTCGCTATCATCGCTTCCGCGGTGGGCAGGTCTGAGGTGTTTGTGTGGGTGTGGGTGTGGGTGTGGGTGTGGGTGTGTGTCACATAGGATTCCTTGTCACAGTTTGTGACTTTCCTAAGAGAATGACCTGTCATCTCCTGCTGGAGCAAGGCGAAAATCAGTAAAGCTGCACATACAATATTTATTTTATTTATTCATTACAGCATCTCATAGCACAGTGAGAACACCGGCCAATACAAAGAGAGAGGGTGTTAGCCAACCACGGCAAGGAAGGGAGAAGGGGAGGAGAAGAAAAAGGAACCGGCATGGATAAGCAGTGATTGCAACAAAATGAGAAACACAAAATCAAAGTCAAGGCGCGACAAGGCTCTTAAAAAGGCGGAGGGAAGAAAGGTCCTTAGCTTCTTGGGGAAGTGCCAGCCACGCAGAGTACACGTTACATGTATATGCCACTTGCATTTGTGGAGTTCTGGTCGTGTGGTTCTTCTGTCGTGAGTTTTGATCACCGCTACTTAGCCTTATCCTGAACCGTGCTGTCATGCTGTATGTCCGATTTGTTGATCGTCCGTGTCAGTCCTTATCATGTTGGTTTTTCTGGGGATTTTCCGTGTGTGTATGTGTATGTGCGTTTGTGTGTGTGTGTGTGTGTGCCCGCGTGTGTGTCTGTATGTACATGTGTGTTAAAATGTGTGTGTGTGTGTGTGTACATGTGTGTGTGTGTGTGTGTGTGTGTGTGTGTGTGTGTGTGTGTGTGTGTGTGTGTGTGTGTGTGTGTGTGTGTGTGTGTGTGTGTGTGTGTGTGTGTGTGTGTGTGTGTGTGTGTGTGTGTGTGTGTGTGTGTGTGTGTGTGTGTGTGTGTGTGTGTGTGTGTGTGTGTGTGTGTGTGTGTGTGTGTGTGTGTGTGTGTGTGTGTGTGTATGTATGTGTGTGTGTGTGTATGTTTGTGTGTGTATGTTTGTGTGTGTGTGTGTGTGTGTGTGTGTGTGTGTGTGTTTGTATGTGCTGTACTGTGGTGCATGTGTATGAACTGTGATTTTTGCAGGCAATGGAGCGTGCCGTAGCTCAGCCCCACCAGGTGCCCGTCGTGTCCGAGGCTATTGCCGCTGCCAGCCTGCTTTGCCAACTCTCTCTCACAGAGCCAGAAGCAGGTTAGTTAGTGGTGCTGGGTGGTTGTGTGTAGTCGAGGCTTTCTCTATCGGCCATACCAGACAGAGTATAGAGAATGTGTATCCATGGCTGCTTTGCCCTTTATGCTGGGCTTTCAGCTTGGTTGCTCATCTGGGCAATTTTTGCAGGGACAGTTCCGAACGATATTTGTGTGCGGGTGTGTGAGTGTGTGTTTGATTGTTTTTGTTTGTGTGTCTCTTGTTTAGAATCGAAGTATGCATCCTTCTGGAAGGTTGCACTGGACTGCGAGAAAGCATTGCTGATGTCGGAGAAAGTGATCTCTTCCGCTACTGATGACGCCCTGCTGTTGATGCTGAACTTCCTGCAGTGCCTGCTCTTCAGTCACGAACAGCGTCTCGATGCCAAGTGTTCCAGGTTGGTGTGTGCGTGTGTTTGTATATGTGTGGGTGGGTGTGCGCGCGTACGAGAGTCTCTCTCTCTCACTCTCTATCTCTCTCTCTCTCACTCGCACGCACACACACACCTTGACCTTGACCTTGATCTTGCCCATTGCGTACGCAATGATAGCGAATGTCGGAAAGTTCAAGTGAGAACACGAGCGCAGAACTTGGCATGTCGTTTCAGGTCTCCTGGTCGACGAAATGGGCGTCCACAGACACATAGAAGAGGATCAGGAGCGGGCCGTGGCGGTGGGGTGCTACTCGCAACTCGTCTCCAGCCGGGACGATCTTGGCAACTCTCAAGCCAGGTGGTCACGCCGAGGTCCGCCAGGTCCGATCGACAAATTATTATTTTGCCGCTTTCTGCAGATCCGCTCGTCTCCAGAGTCCTCGACAAGGGAACGAACATTCCACGTCGCGAAAGCGAGAGCAGCTCCACGTCCACCACCACCACTTCCTTCCTTTCTCCTCTCTGTCTGGTTGGACTTCGTCGTCGTCCTCCTCACCATTCCAAATTCAAATTTTCGAAATTCTCAAAATGAACTTTCCGACTACTTGTGCAGTGAGTGCGCAACAACAACTCCGCAGTAGCTTGCAAGGCCACTGGCGGAGGTCACCACAGCCCTGCCCTGGTCTACACCACACGGACAGGGCTGTGTTACGTGACACAAACGACTTGAGGTCAGAGCACTCAAAAATGCAACCAACCTCTACTGTACCAAGCACACACACACACACACACACACACACACGCACTCTCTCTTTTTTTTTCTCCCAGTCCCTGTCCCTCACTCGCTTTATTCCCTGTCCTGTATTCCATTCTCTGGTTGACCTGTGTTAGAATGGTGCACACTGTCATAGTGTGGCTGCTGGTACACCACTCCTACCCGGTGAGAAAGAGAGCGGCCACCATTGCTCTCAAGATCGTCAAGAGCTCAGCAGGTGGCGTGGACAGCACTGGCTCCGGACTGCGCAAGGTCTTCGGCGAATACCTCACGGCACAAGTTGTAAGTCGTCTCCTTGTGTCGTAGTCATCTTTCCGCTCTAGACACACCACTAGGCGCTTGTGTTTTTGACCAAGCCGCGTTGAGTGGGACTTCACTTGTACCCTGGTTGACGTGTACCCTGGTGGAATATGTGCCCAAGTGAAGCTCATAGTAACAGCCGTATACAGTACCTAGGTGAGGATAGTAGACTGTTTCAGTTATGCCATTTGTCCCTGGTGGGGTTTATGCCCCAGTTTGGATGTTGTCTAAGTGGAACTTATTCCCTTGAAATGCACTGCATTGGTCTGTGCTCACAAACATTTTTTTTAGTTCTTTATTCTCACGATGGCTCCATCGCCAATAAGAGATCTCTTCGTTGCATCTTCATGTTTGTTCCCGTCTCCCTGCCAGGTTGCAACGGAAACATCTGAGGACACCGAGGGAGCGTCGTCCAAGGCGCCCAAGAGCGGCAGCAGCCATCACTTTGTGAAAGCACTGCGCCTGGTCACCACACCACCCAGCGGCTCCGCTGGCTCCATCAAGGACGAATGCACAGCCATCTTGCTGGAGTCGCTGCTCTGGGCACACCATCCCGTCATCGGTGAGTTGTCAGTGATACAGCCAGCTTCATGCATAGAATCCGTAAAAGTCCGTAAATAAGTCCATGCCCTGAACGAATACCCCCTTCATTCTTTTGATTCTGTCTTCTCCACTACACACAAGTTAGATCCGAAAGTTAGTTTTTGCCCGAAAGTCAGTACCTGCCCGAAAGTTAGTGCAGGTGTGACCCCTAAATTCGAAAGTAAGGTGCCATCAAGAACGAGTGCATTGCCATCTTGCTGGAGTCGCTGCTCTGGGCACACAATCCCGTCATCGGTGAGTTGTCAGTGACGCAGCCAGCTTCTTCAGGCCAGCAGAACAGACCGTGTTGTCGTGTACAACAGCCTGCCTCGTACAGAAGGAAGTGTGTGTGTTCATTGTGCATGATATTTGTCATGTGGGTACTAGTGTGATACACATGCTTTGATTTCAGCAAAGAGAGTTAAAGAGACCTTTATTGGAGTTAAGGAGTGAAGTTTTATACCGTATTTTCCCGATTATAAGTCGCATTCGGTTATAAGTCGCACGCACCCCCATTTTCAGGTTTAGCCCTACTCTTTCAGTGTATTCATATAAGCAGGTTGTCATACTCGATTGTAAGTCGCATCCCCTTCTTTACCCTTGAAGTTTAGTGTAAAAAGGTGCGATTTACAATCGGGGAAATACGGTACATGCTTTGATTTCATTGTTTTTTTGTTTTTCCTTGCGTTCCTATTCTATGGTTCAGTTCAAACAAGCACTGATGAATGGAGTCGATTGCTACAGCGTTTGAGAGTCGATCTGGATGACCTGGTAGCAGCGCCTCATCTTGATACACTGCTGGCCTGCATCAGTGTTCCGCAGCTCACCAACCAAGCGGTTAGTCTGTGCGTGTGTGTGTGTGTGTGGGTGTGTGCACTTGTGTTTGTAGGTGTTGTGTGTGGGTGTGGGTGGGTGGGTGGGTGGGTGGGTGTTGTGTGTGGGTGTGGGTGTGGGTGTGTGCTTCCTCCTGAAAATAAAATAGATGGATTTGAATTTCTGGCTCAGCCCTTAACATCATCACACAGGCGCTTCATTGCCATGTTTCTACATGTATGTATGTGTGTGTCTGTCTGTCTGTCGGTCTGTCTGTCTGTCTGTCTGTCGGTCTGTCTGTCTGTCGGTCTGTCTGTGCTTCCTCCTGAAAATAAGAATAGATTCGAACTTCTGGGTCAGCCCTTTTCATCATCACGCAATTTCTTCATTGCCATGTTTCTATGTGTGTGTCTTTGAATACATGTGTTTGTGTACGTGTGTGTGTGTGTGTGTGTGTGTGTGTGTGTGTGTGTGTGTGTGTGTGTGTGTGTGTGTGTGTGTGTGTACATGGGCATGTGCGTCTCCATCTCCATCCCTTGCAGGTCCCATCACCAGTGCTGAGTGCAGTGAGCACTTTGTCATCTCTCTGTCCTAAGTTCATCGGTGTCATCATGACCATGCTCAGTGGAACACTGGACACTCCCTTGCAGGTCACCGTCAACGAGATGCGCATCGCGCACACGCCAGAGGGCCAACTCTTCGACACCAGCCTGATTGATAAGTGAGTGTGCTGGGGCTGGTGGTTGTGTGGTTGGTTGTGTGTGGTTGGTGGTGATGATGGTGGTGCTGGTGCTTGTGTGTGTGTGTGTGTCTGTGTGCACGCTTGTGTGTGTGTGTGTGTCTGTGTCTGTGTCTGTGTCTGTGTGCACGCTTGTGTGTGTGTGGGGGGGGGGGGGGGGGGGGGGGGAGGGTGCAGTTGGGGTTACCTGAATGAAAAGGCTTGCATCACACGTTCGAGTTTCTATGATTGTGTCGAGCATATGTCTTTATGACTGCACGCACGCGTGTGTGTGTGTGTGCGTGTGTGTACATAATTTGTAGTGCCAAAGCGACCGATACCAACAAGGCACAGAACATCAAGAGAGAATCGAAGCTGTACAGCTACGAAGACCAAAAGTGGGAGATGGAGTTCAGGGAGGTGAGCTATTGCTGCTGTTGCTGCTGCTGCTGCTGCTGCTGCTGCTGCTGCTGCTGTTGCTGCTGCTGTTCCTGCCGCTGCTGTTGCTGCTGCTGCTGCTGTTCCTGCTGCTGCTGTTCCTGCTGCTGCTGCTGCTGTTCCTGCTGTTGCTGCTGCTGCTGCTGCTGCTGCTGTTGCTGCTGCTGCTGCTGCTGCTGCTGTTGCTGCTGCTGCTGCTGCTGCTGTTCCTGCTGCTGCTGTCGCTGCTGCTGCTGTTGCTGCTGCTGCTCCTGCTGCTGTTGCTGCTGCTGCTACTATTCCTGCTGTTGTTGCTGCTGCTGCTGCAGCTACTACTATCAGTAGCACCAATGTTTCTGTTGCTGCCTTCAAATTAATCTCGGTGTCCGAAAGAGGGAAGAGTTACAGGACTTTTTTTACGGGAGAAGCGGAGGTCGATTGGTGACACAGATTTCGTGTGGATGCTGTGTAGTGTATCACAACACTTTCGCTGCGATATGTCCGCATGGAAGGCTCATAGTGCATGCCAGCTTCTTAGTCTGTAAAGTGATAACAGAGGAACCCTCTTTAATAGTGCACATACTCTTGCTTTCTAGTACAAACATTGTCTGGAGCACAGGAGTACAGGAAAACATGTAATTTTAGGTGTATTACAATTTCGGTACCGGGGATCTGCCAGGTTTCAGGTGTAATGTAGAATTAGGTGACCAGCATTCCCTTCACATACAGTGCTGCTGCATACTCTGGTGCATTTGAGGTGTAATCTGAATTTTTAAGTACTTGTTTTCACTACCAAAATCACCGAAATTAAAGTTTCATACGCGGAAAATATTGTGTTTTACAGTATTCTTCCATACTGCACTGAAGCATGTTGGGATAAGAAGTACCTCGGATACTAAGTACATGTACCCGCTTTCCTGCTGCCCATGCAGGGGTACATCTTAGCAGAGAGTTGCACTGTAGTTTTAGCACACAGTTTAGTTCGTACGATAACGTACTACTGTAAAAGCAGATATTTTCGGTAGTGTATTATTTTCGGTATTCTCCGAAATCGGCGGTTCGGTGGAGGGAAATTTTCGGTAAACCCGCTTTCCAGGTAATGTAATAGTACTAGTACCGAAATTTTCGGTGCGTTTTATTTTAGGTGAAAATTTCGGCACCGAAGTTACCGAAAATAAAACACCACCGAAGATTTCTGCTTTTTCAGTAGTTTTTTTTAATTCTGTTGTGCCTTCTTTCTTGTAGGAACTGAAAAAGAAGAAGCAACAGCAGCAACAACCGGCCGCCGCTGCCGTTTCCACGGCAACTACCGGCAAATCATCAGCCAAGCCTGGCGCTACAAAGACAGCTGGCAAAGGCACAGCTGGCAAGGCCGGTGGCAAGGGCGGAAAGTCGTCTTCGGCTGCTGGTGATGTTCAGCTCAGCAAGAAGCAGCAGGAGATCCTGGAGGCCACGCTCAAGCAAGAGTCGGCCACCAGAAAGCGCGTGACGGAAGTGAGTGGCCGCGCCGCTTTTGAAACCCTTAGTCCGAGTTGTACATGTAGTGGCAGGCTGTGTGTTACAGTGTTCTTGCATAGTTACCTGCATGCCGTGTGATGCACTGAGCCTCCCCAGCTTGTTTGGCCCCGTGGCCACTCTGTATGGAGGAGGAACATCAAGTATCGATTTGACGTGAGCAAGCGAATTTCATTGAGCCGCCTCTCTGTCTCTGCCTGTCTTTCTCTCCTGTGTGTGTGTGTGTGTGTGTGTGTGTTTTTTGCAGATTGAGACCAAGCTGATCACGGCGCTGTCGTTCGTGGGCTGTGCTGCCACTGCCAACCCGTACGCCATGCAGAAGCACATGCCACAGCTGGTCACCTGGCTGAGGCGGCTGCTCCGCTGTCCACTGGGTGCCGGGCATGCAGCCGACGCCTGGGTCAAGCTGCGCCCGGTTGCTTTCGACGACGAAGAGGATAACGTCTGGCTCGGTACGCAGAGAGACTGTGTGTGTGTGCGTTTGATTACTTCCGTGAATCAATTCATGGATGGAATCTCATCGTTCGATTTCATGTCAGGAGCCCTGGAATCGGTTCGGAATCTGAGGTAAAACTTTCGGAATGAATATTCAAAGTGTGATCAAGCGTTCTTGTGTGTGTGCTGTGCCGGTATGTGCGTTGTTTTTTTGTGTGTGTTTGTGTGCGTGCTTGTGTGTGTGTTCCGTGCCCGTACGTGCGTTGTTTTGTGGCGTTGTCAGGTAAGAGCGTGTCTCACGTCACCCTGCGTCTGCTGGACCCGCCGACGTGTCTGGACGAGTCCTGGGAAGAGGAGCCCCTACTGGCGCAGGCCAAGCGTGTGCTGGTCCAGCTGCACTCGCTGGCGTCCAGTGAACAGCTACCCGCTGCCTCCTTCTGCTACTGCTTCCCGATGTTGGACAGCATTCTCGGAGGTAGGTGTCACGGTGTACGTACACACGTACAATCTGCATTCGTTATCTCGTATGCATGTGACCAGGGCTGACCTGTGGGGTGTGTCTCTGTGTGTTTGCTCGCATTCGTCCGCGAGCGATCGTGCGCGTGTGTACCGTTGTGCCATGTATAACAGCCGGTCTCATATAGTTAAATTTTATTATTACAGTATTACAGTTGCGCTTGGTGAAATCCGACCCAAAGTAGAAAGCTGGCGCCCTGTACCAGTTCTGGTCACATCACCGTGTTCGTACATGTATACGTCCAGCCACATTTGTGCCACTTGCAGGGTGTCGAGGACAGTGCAAGTTGAGGGTGCAAAATGTGCACTCTGGGTCGCATTTCACTGAGCACAACCGTATATGTAGAAGCCTGTTTTGAATACAAGCCTGGTTGTCAAGACGCACTGTCGGCGCTTAAGCCTGGTTTAAGTGTTAACCTACATGGAAATTCCTGATGTGAGTAGAAGCCTAGCCCTGACATCGGCTTCCACAGCCACAATCCCGGCTTTTACGGTATTTCTTTTCGAGCTATGCTTTACTATGTGTGTGTGTTTGGTGTGTGCTCGTATGACTGTCCTGGGCTGTAGCCATCACGTACGTGGCTGGCGTGAGCACGTTCAATCGCGTGGCCAACCAGTTGGCCAGTGAAATGCCCGCGCTGATGAACAGCGCCATCTCCTCTCTCAGTATTCACTGCACAATGCGGTCGGCTGCAGTTGGCATGCCAATCTCGACTGGGGTCTCTGCCGGTCTGAATGGACTTGAAATGGGAGGTGATGATGACGAGGTAAGAGAAGTGTATTAAATTTTATTATCTTCACATCTTGCATTCGCTTTTCTGTGGACTGCAGCAGTCTGACACTTGCTGCTGCTAGTTCTTCTGCTGCTGCTGTTGCTAATGCTGCTGTTGATGATTCTGCTGCTGCTGCTGCCGCTGTATTTCCTATTGTACACAGCAGTATGCTGTTGACCAGGGGTAGAGAAGCCAACCATCTTGTGTTCTTTCTTTCTGCATTGTTTTCCTCTTTCTCATTCATTGTCTTTAGTAAGGCGTTGTTCTGTGTGGTGCTGTTTCTGTTTGGTGTTACTGCGTTGTCAGGATGGTCCAGCTCTGCTGCCTTCTGAGGGTATGTTCCGTTTGCTGGTTCACGTCATCGGCAACGCCACTGATGTCAAACTCGCCAAGTTGCAGGTTAGTTGGCTCCGCATCAGAGCGGTACACTTAGGTTTATCACTAAAGGCTGTTTGTGTGTGTGTGTGTGTGTGTACGCGTGTGCGTGCGTGCGTGTGTGTGTATGTGGTGTGCATGCACGTGTGTGCCTATGTGTGCCTGTGCATGCACATGTGTGTGGGTGGGTGTGCGTGTGTGCGTCTGCCTATTCCTCACTTGCCTGCAGCAAAAGGCGTGCAACTCTCTGGTAGCACTGTGCGAGTCGTTCAGCTCCAAGAGCGGCTGTGCCTCCCTGGGCGCCAGCGACCTGGAAAATGTTCTGCTGCCGGCCATGAAAAGCAATTGTGATGAGCTGCGTCGTGCTGTGCTCAATGGCCTGACTGAGATCATACCACTCATCCAGACTGAACTACAGAATGTGGAGAACAACACACACTCACTGTGGGGTAGGTGCGACCCGGTGACCTGTGCTCGCTTCAACAGCGGATGTGCCAGTGATGTGGTGTGCTTGTTGTTTTTGCTAGGCCTGTGACGTATTGCCAGTGCCCCCCCCCCCCCCCCCCCCCCCGTCTGTCTGTCTCTCTCTCCCTCTCTCTCTATTTGTGCGAGCGTTGCTTCGTTGTTTGTCCTGCATGGTGATAGCTCTGGACTCTGATTGTTACATTGCCTCGGCTTCTGATAGGGCTGAAAATCTAGCATTAGACACCCTTAGCAAACAACGGTAACGCTATTTTTTTTACGGTGCTCGTACCTTGATCACCCAAATAGCGTTGAAGCTGCAGCGTATAAACGTTATGAGTAGAGGATATAACCCGAGTCAGAGGGTTATACCGGCTGAATATAAATCCCGACTGCGATAGCAGGAGGGATTTATATGAGGGTACGGTATAACCCGACTACGAGGGTCATATCCTACTTATGCCAGGTACCCCTACGCATTTCCAGAACAACGAACCTATTAGGAGATCTCCTACATCATGCAGTACATGAACATCTTCTGATGGTTATCAGTTGTCAATTGAAAGAATGGTCGAGCAAGGTCAGAAGGAGATTCCTCCGTGGATGTTTGGCATAAGATTTCCTTTCAGTTCCAGTGCATATTGTAGCATCTTCATGATCTTGTCTTGAGTCGTGAGCGGTGCGGAAGGCGACTGAATTGCTGCGGTGCTGGAGTTTGTCGTTGAATCAAACTACCGTCACTAGTTAGATTACAGCTTGGACTCTTTGGGAGTAAGTGTTACTATAATTATGGTACAGTGCTGATTTTCACATGCGGCATCTCATAATCAGTTTTGCTTGCAAGTAGATGCATTTGCATACACTGTTTTGTATCACATTTCAATCCAATCTATTGTAGCCTTTTCCAATCGGGTTGAAGTACATGTACACTGGTATTTGTACACTGGTATTATAAACTTATTTACGAAGGAGACAGTCTGTTGATGATCTTCAACTCTTCGAAGTACAATGTACATTGCTGACCCATTCGGGATACTTCGTGGTTATTCGACGTTCTTTATCCTCAGATTCAGTATAACAGAATACTCTGTAGACGAATTCCAGGTCATTCTTCTTTTCCATTGTGTACTGTTCCTCGTCAGTGTGCCGTTCTGTGTGGAGTGTACACGTGCATGTGGTGTCCGTTGTGTCTGTTTATGTATGGTCCGTGCGCTGGAGTACTGCCGCCGTACAAGTAATAGTTCACTGCCTTTCAGGCAGTGAACATGTACGGTGGCAGTGCCCTAGCGTACGTACCATGCACCGGGATTTATATTCTATATAAATCCCGCGCGGGATTTATACTGGCCAATATAACCATGGCTAGACGAGCGCTGATTGGCTGAAAACAGGCCCTCCGTACCGTACCATGGTATAAGGGCTGATTTATCGTTGTGACCAACTGTACGTGTTTTGGCCAAATATTGCATAGTCCGTACGCATTTCACCTTGTATCGCATATATGGTGACAAAAATGGTTGTACCGCACGAAATCAAAGCTACTCTCGTGTCAACAGCGTACTAAAAATAGCGTGCATCTTGCTAAAGGTCGAACCCAAATCACAGTATTTTCCCCCTTACGATAATACCGTTACAACATAACGTTTTTTGCTAAGGGTGTCTATTGTCAGATAAGAACTGTAACGGTGCTGCCCTACTTTCTGCCTGTTTGGCTTGCTCGACCTTGTTCCATATAAAGATTCTTAGGGCCAATTCATTCCTGACTTTTCGCGACGCGAAAGCATGATGTCACGGGCGCGCGATGGCCCAAACAGGTTGAGATCAAGTCAATGTTTGGCTATGACGAGCATTGCGATGCATACTAGTATCCGTACGCGCAATTACCGTAAAGTTTTGTATAAAAGCCGCACTTGAATTGAAGCCGCGATTTTGGGCCCATCAAATCACACATAAGCCTGGTTTTAGTGTTGACATACATAGAAATACCTGTCTTGTATAGAAGCCTGTCTCATATAGAAGCCTGCAAATTTTCACCAAGAAAGTCATAGAAGCCGCGGCTTTTATACAAGACTTTACGGTAAGCATGAATCACGCTTAGTGTGATTGCCTCTGGCCTGTTTACGTGTTGGTACTGATCATTTTCTCTCTCCTTCTCCTCGCCTTCCTAATGCACAGGACAAGAACTGGTGGACTCACTCTGCTGCCATGTGTGGCTGCTGAGATTCGACGAGGTCGAGATCAACAAGACCTTGGCAGAGCGGTAAGGCTAAGTGATGTTGAGGCGATGAGTTGGGCGTGTCAGTTGTAAATGGGGTATTGTTTGTGGGGTCTTTAGACGTCGGAAACAAGCGTGAATTGACTCCGAACTCATCAGCTGGGTTGGATGACACGTTTGGAGACTCGTACCTGACGGACGTGGCCAAATGGCCTGTTTGTCCTCAGATATCATCCATTTATTCGTCTGTGAGTGGCGACGCAATGGCTGTCGTATTTGTCTCGATGTGAAGTGAATCCATCGCAAGATTGTTCCAACATGTCGGCACGCTAGTCACACACTCATTTTTTTCTTTATTATTTTCTCCGATCTCTAGCCACCCCTCCCCTCCATTAGCAGGATGCTTTGAGTTTCAGGCCGTACACTTGTTCTGACTTCTATGCGTGGATGTTGGTCCATTTGTATGCTCTCACATTCTGTACAGGTTGTGCCCCCCCCCCCCCCCCCCCACATCAGCGGGATGTTTTGAGTTTCAGACAGTAACCTTGTTCCGACTTCTATTAATTTTGTTGACATGTAAAGAGAAAAGGACCTTTAAGTTACTAGTTATGACTAACAGTCCACCAAGGTAACAAGATAATAATACAGTCCTTTTCTCTGTACATATTACTATTGACTCAACATCCGAGTTTTTGTTGCTACTGATACCATTATCTGCTCACACACTCTCTACAGATTGTGGGATGCTGCTGGCATGCTCAACGACTTTGTACCGAGCAGTGACATCATCAAGGACGTATCGCATGCCGAGGCCAAGGTTCGCAGCGCCGCAGCACAGGCACTGTCCGCATCGCTGGCTCTCGAGCCGCAGGAGACCTTTGCTAACTGCCAGTTGTTGTTCGAGCTCTACGAGAAGTACCGCTATGTAAGTCCAACGCACCGGGGTTGCTGTTCCTGTGTATGCTTTTTCACAGTGTTAAGGGGAAGTATAAGCTCATTGCTCAATGACATAGTTTGCACCACCAACACCCCCCCCCCCCCCCCCCCCCCCCCCACACACACACACAGCCACCTGGGCATGGTGGTGTGGCGTTTTGAACAGTGCATTGCTGATCCCAGCGTACTCACATAACACCCCACACAGCCACCTGGGTATGGTGGTGTGGCGTGTTGAACAGTGCATTGCTGGTCCCAGCGTACTCACATGCGTTACTCATGCATTCTATATTTGCTAATGCACAATTGGCTTATTGCCCCTGTGCCTAAAATATGGTGATCGTGGTTTTTCGTTTCTTTCCTGCTGGGGCTCTCCCGTCAGCTTTATGTGTGCATAGATGTGTAAGTGGCGATCTGTGCTCAGAGACATGTTTAGCTCCCTGCCACTAAGTCCTCTGTGTGTGTGCGTGCGTCTCTCTCTCACTCTCTCTCTCATTCTCTCTCTCTCTCTCTCTCTCTCTCTCTCTCTCTCTCTCTCTCTCTCTCTCTCTCGTAACAGGTACCCAAAGCATCAGTGGACAGCATGGGCCGACCGACTGGCCCTGCCCCCGAGGACCCATGGCCATCACGCTGCGGTGTAGCCATCGCGCTGCGTCACCTTACCAGTCTCATGCAGTCGTCTGACGTACCAGAACTGTTCACTTTCTACGTACCGACAGCACTCAACGATCACCGCGTTGAGGTGCGCAAGGAAATGCTAGCCGCAGCTACGGCTGCCATCGAGGAACACGGAAAGGTAAGAGCAGGACAGAGGGTACTCCCCTCGGTGACATCATGGGTCGCATGGTTGGTTGGACATGAATACGGGGTTTTCCCCTATCTGGGATCACAGATATTCCCCTTGGTGACATCATAGGTCACATGCTTGGTTAGACATGAATACAGGGTACATGTATTCCCCTTTCTGGTGTCACAGATAGTCCCCTAGGAGACATAAGTTGCAGACTTGCCGCCTTGATAATACATGAATACAGGGTATTCCCCTCGATGACATCATGAGTCACATGCTTGGTAAGACATGAACACAGGGTGTTCCCCTTTCTGGCATCACAGATCACGCACATGCTTCATTTCACCGATAGTTGTCACATGACCTGCCATTCATTGTGCCGGGCACTTGCCATGTCTCAAAACAACTTTGAAAGAAGATATGTGTTCGGGTAGCTGGCGTATTTTCCGGAGCATAAGCCGCATCCAGATTTCTTGTCAGGAAACACAGACATCTACCGTGTGTTTCACTGTTCATTTGACCATCGTAGTGTAAGCCGCGGTTACTTTTTCTGGATGAATCATGAGGGCGGCTTATGCGCCGGATAATCCCCTCGACATGCCTACAACCTTTGGGCAATAATGGAAAGCTAAGGATAAATTTATAGTAAAGAAAAAAGGACATTATAGCCTAACTTGCAGTTTCTTGGTCCTTTTTTCTTTACTATAAATGTATCCTTTGGGTAATCCTTGAAATACAATATGGTATGCTCTAACCTCTGTGTCTATGTGCTTGTGTGTGTGTCTGGTTGTTAGGATGAAGTGTCAGTGCTGTTGCCCAAGTTTGAGCACTGCTTATCGTTGCCCGATGGTCAGACCAGTGACGCTCTGCGACAGTCCATTGTCATCTTGATGGGAACCCTGGCACGCCATCTTGTAAAGGAAGATCCAAAGGTGAGAAAGGGAGAGAGTGTGTACTTGTGCGTACATGTGTGTCTGTGTGCGTACATGTGTGTGTACGTGTGTGTGCGTGTGTGTCTGTGTGCGTGCGTGTGTCTGTGTGAGTGCGTGCGTATTATAATGAAAGACAACAACCGCACGGGTGATCTCACTGATCCGTCTCATTTTTTATGGGTTTGCTTCACCCTCGATGGTGATTCTCTTTCTCTCTCTCTTTCTCTAACGATACTGTGTAGATCCGACCGATTGTGGAGCGACTAATCGCAACACTGGACACTCCGTCACAGCCTGTACAGGAAGCCGTTGCAAACTGCCTGCCTCCACTCGTGCCCGCCATCAAGGACGAGGCCAAGAAGATGGTGGCCGACCTTCTGGCAAAGGTATGGTCTTATCGACCTGTGCCATGTAGCGTACTGTCATGCATTTGATTGTGTATATTGTCAAAGGTCTAACACTGCCTTCCCCGTTACGTCTCTCAATATTCACAATGCAATGTTCTAATTTTGCCAAGGCACCAATATTGCCTGGCACTTTATGGAGAGGGAAGAGGGGGGGGGGGGGGGGGTTGCTTGCGTGTAGTTACCCATGTGCTATATATGTCCTATTTTCATAATAGGTCATTCACGAACTTAGAAGTTCACTCTTCTCTTTTTGTACATACCCATGCAGTTCTCAGTGCAATTTGTACATACGCATTCAGTACTCATACAATTTGCAAGCCAAGAAAGCTGTACTTGTGTGCGTGTGTGTGTGTGTGTGTGTGTGTGTGTGTGTGTGTGTGTGCGTGTGCGTGTGCGTGTATGTGAATACATACAGCTTCTGGATGGCACTCAGTTTGCCGAGCGCAAGGGAGCAGCCTACGGTTTAGCCGGTCTGGTCAAGGGTTTGGGAATAGGATCCCTTAAACAACTCAACATCATGCCAACACTAACGGAGGCTGTCCAAAACAAGAAGAACTATCGTCATCGTGAAGGTATTACCGTACTGGCAATATATGTTGCCGCGTAACGCGTAACGCAGGGGGTGCGGCGTAACGCGCGACCAGGCTAGTGCGACAAATTTTCGTTGCGTTCGTAACGCGCGTCCGGCGGGGTGCGGGGATCTTTTCATTGCAGTTTGCAAAAAATGATGCGGCAATAGCAAAAAAATGATGCGGCAATAGCAAAAAAGTGATGCGGCAATAGCAAAAAAAGGACTGCGGCAATATAGAAACCTGTGTAACGGCTCCTGTGCGACTTTGCATGTAACGCCCTGCGTGCGGCAAACATGTGCCAATGTAACGCTTCATGGCCTCACTGCGACCATATATGGGCCAGTGCATGCGAAAACGTGTCTTCGGGGAAACCGATTTCTTTCAGAATTTTGAGAAAATCGCTCGGAAAGAAGAGTTATTTTTTTGTGGCTCGACCGCGGATCTTGTCTACTCGATCTCAAGACGACAAGAGAAGCGACCGCGCTTGTATCATCATGGACGTGGCGGCGCAGGAGGAGTTGGAATTAGCACTTGAGGAAGGGCCTCTGAGTAGACACACTCGTGGCAGACGCCGAGCAGCACGCCGGTTGAGCTGTACCGCTCGCGTGATTATCGTCGGCGCGTCCGAAGAGATCGGCAAGGTTTATTATCGAGGAGGAAGACGACAATTTATTTGGCGAGTCGTGAGTCGGAGCAGTCGGCAACTAGCAGCTGTTCTGCTCACAGTGACTCTGACGAAGCCCCAGCTAAGCGTCCGGGAGTGAAAGACTCCTGTGTTGAGGTTGAAGGCGAGTCGAGAGCGGATGAATTAGGCGGAGATTCTGTGGCCTCTGCAAGCGACGATGAGCAGGACGCGCTTCAGAGCATTGCCGCTGTGGACTGACTGATTCTTGAAAGCTGTGTCTGCGTTCGGAACTACCATTTCAGCAGCTTCACGTCGAGCGCAATCCTCCATTACGACTACTAAATCTCGGCGATGAAATCGAAGGACCTCGACATTTTTTATATTGGTGCGCTGGCTGCGCTGCACGCGTGACGATCCTGTCGACTGTCGTGCATCAGTCGACAGCTTCCGCAACGGAAAGGACGCGCATCACGTTTGGATACACTGTGATGGGACACATCGTGTGTCAAACCGCGTTTATGCAGCTCCATGTGGTTGGCAGAATATGACTGTCTGCAAGTGGACAAGGAGAACATTAGCTGTGACCCTGGTGCACATGGAAAGCTGGCAATGTGCCTTGGAATAAATTTACTGCAGAAGTGGGAGACAGAGCGCAGCAGTTTATTCTGAACAGACTGAACTACAGCTTAGTGTTCAGTCTCCCTTTGTCTGTTGCACCAAGAGGGAGAGGTGAGGAATCTCCCATGAAACTTACCTACATCCGTCGCCTACAAGTTTGTCCTTTCGGAACATGTCGAGCAGTCTGGTGAAGCGCAAACCCTGGGTTACCATATTTTGTTTGTATCTGTGGACTAAGAAGTGCAAGTCCATCGAGTTCATGACGCAACGGATGGATGTGTTCAACAAGTGTGCGCTGCTCCGGGACGATATTTGTTCTCCTCGTGCAGAGGATGAAAAAAAGTCTGCAACGGAACCACTCCGTGACCATGTTGTCTTTGCACAAAAGGAACGCGAGTTCTTGTTAGGTCAACGCTGCAAGAATTTGCTGGACAATGTTGCCCGGTTTTGTCTGGATAACAAGGCAGCCTTCATTGAATGTCTTGGCCAATACTAAAGGCTTATACGCAAAACTGTTGCTGCTTTCAGCGACGCTGTAGATAATGCATTATACAAGGCATATTCCATGTTGGACAATGCCATAGAAATCATGGTCTCTATGTACTTTCAAATGTGATATCCAGCTTCATCTTCCACAGAGTTGTTCTCTAGACCCCAGTGATTGATTTTCAAGAAAGAAAAAAAATTCCAAAAATTTGCCCTTAGACACGGTATTGCATGCACTGGCCCATATATTGCCAGTACGGTATTATGTGTGTGTGTTTGTGTTTGTGTGTGTGTGTGTGTGTGTGTGTGTATGTTTGCTTGCGTGTGTTTGCTCCCGTGTTTGCGTGAGTGAGTGAGCATGGGTGTGCATTGTCTAATGCATTCGATTGTGTCATTTTGGAAATGTCTCGATCGTTAGATCGAGTGGCATGACACCTGACAATCACTGTTGTCGCATGAGTATGCCACTGATACTATAGCCTGATATTCGTCATTCTGTGAGAGCTTGGACGATCCACTTGTCCAGGCAAGAAGGCAGCGATGATAAGTCTGAGACGAATGAGATAATATCACTGTGTGTCTATGCGTTGTTGTTGGCAATCAGGAGCGCTGTTTGCTCTGGAGATGCTGTGCTTGATGCTGGGCCGTCTGTTTGAGCCGTACATCATTCACGTCCTGCCGCATCTGCTCATGTGCTTCGGGGACGGTAATACCTACGTGCGAGAGGTAAGAAGAAGTTGTTGGTACAAACTGTGTCATTTCTCAAAAAAATTCACGGTTCGCGTGAGACTCGGCCAAAGGCCCAGTTTTCCGCATCCGCAGGAACGCCACCACCCTCTTGGATCAAGGCGCAGATGCAGCTCCTAAGCGGTGGGAGGTGAGTAGATCAGACCCACCACAAAGTGGTCAAAGACCGAAATCCCATTCACTGCATCCATGTTTCCCTCGTGCCAGGCCACGAGTTCCCAATTTACTGTCATTTCTCACGCACAGACTTATTGGGACTTGACAGCAGAAGATCTCTCCGTGGAGAGCACTCTCCACGCTGCAGGGAGCAGACTATTCAGTAGCTACTTGGCTTGACATTGTTGACAGGTGCATCGACCCTGCCCCTGTCTTACAGGTTCAGGGAAGATATGAGCTGTATGGATTGTCATATCACCGCAGCAATAACATCCTTACGGAATAGTGGCGACGATTTCGACCGTAATTTTATGGCGGAAAAGTGCGATCTCCAGTGTGGGGAGCAAGCCCATTCCTATACAATAACATTATCTTCCTCCTTTGTGTGCGTCATGTGTTTGCCTGTGCAGGCTGTGGACGATACAGCCCGCGCTGTGATGCAGAAGCTGAGTGCTCACGGCGTCAAGCTAGTCTTGCCCTCGTTGCTGCAGGCTATTGAAGACGACTCGTGGAGAACAAAGATCGGTATGTCTGCAGGGATGTACTGTACACTGAAAGCTGTCCAAGGTGACCACCGCTCATGGGACCTTACCAATACGGTCTCCATGCACAGGTGGTCTTCTTTTCCAGGGTCATTTGACTGGAAATAACATCCGTTGGTCCTGGTTGTAGTGGTCCTCTAGGACATCTGGTCACCTTATCAGAGTGGTCGCCTTGACAGGTGGTACTATAATGTCCAGTGCAAAGCACACCAGTGCCCGGCATTCATGCAAAACCTCTTTTTCACTTATTAGCCCGTGCGCTTATAGTTGTGTGTCTGTCTCTGCTTGTCTTCCACTGTTTTGCAGGCAGTGTTGAGCTGCTCGGAGCTATGGCTTACTGCGCTCCTAAGCAGCTCTCTTCCTGCTTGCCGAGTATCGTGCCCAGCCTGACCGGCGTACTGGCCGACTCCCACATCAAGGTGCAGAAGGCCGGCGGGCAAGCTCTCAAGCAGATCGGCTCCGTCATCAAGAACCCGGAGATCCAAGGTACGTGTGCACGCTTTAGTCATACTGCTGCATGCACCGTGCCAGCACTTCCGTGATCTGAGCTCAGTGTTCTGCCAGCTCTTCTATGATCTGCACTCAGTACGCTGCCTTGGGGTTTCGTCCGTCTGGTGCCAGTGTTCTTGGTTGTTTGGTTTTCAATTCATATGTACAGTGGTGTTCTTTAAGGGGCCGTCCGTAAATATCGAACTTTTGTCGCCAAATGAATTATTTTAGTTTAGACCCAACCCCTCCTCCCTCCCCCTCAGAACGTAAGAAATGTTGACGTACGTGCATATACAATGAATCAATGTTTTCTGAAACGAAATTGGTCAACCCCATCCCACCCCATAACGAAATTATTTTGTTTTGTGAAAAAAAATGTTCTCGATATTCATGGACGACCCCTAACACCTTCACTACCGCGGTCTTTCACTGCAGTGCACAGTGCTACCGTGTACAATGCTGCTCAATGAAATCCGATCATGCGAGTCAATGCCACGCAGGGCGCTGTGCAGGCCCCAGGCCTGTGAACATTGGGGTGTGAACTAGCGGTGCATGACGCAACTCCGGATCGGGCGATCGGATTTTTTGAGCAGCACTGTAGTACATCTTCACTCTCCAAACGGTCTCTGGGCTACACCAATCACTAAAAGTAGGCACTTCACCCCATTTTTTGAAATCGCGTTTTTTCCAGGTTTATCATCGGCAATCGATGGTGGTGGGTATCACAAGGTCACACAGAAAATTATATTGAAATCCACAGTGATACCACTCAGATATGAAGGGTTGAAGATAGGCAGTTGGATGAGGCGAGATCAATACAATTTGTGGCACCAACAGCATCTCCGAAGTATCATTAGTGGATATAGTCACAAAACATCAGAGTGTTTTTTTCAAGCACACATCACTCACTTACACCGACAACCCTGTATGGATCGAAACAATACAGATCAAAGTTCAGAATAGGCAAGAATACGGCAATTGTGACCGCAATCACTATAGCAACTCCATAGCAACCCATAGCAACGCCATAGTAACCCATAGTAACAGCTTCAGTTTGCTATGAAATGAACTGATAACGACATACTGGCAGGCTCCGGCGGGTACAAAAGCGTAAGAGTTATAAAGACATTCTTCTGGCACAAAAACAACAGAGAACTTCCTTGTTGTACGCCGCAATGTGGAGGGTATGTACGCGCGCGCCCGCGCTCGCGAATTACTGCACAGGATATTCGTGCTCACAGTCATGCCACTTCAAGTGATTCCAAGTTGGCAAGAAGTTCTTCAGGACCTCTGTTGGTAGCTTCTTTCCATGGTGTGATATCTGCCTCCCTATCCTTCAACTGCTCCATGCAGCAGTCATGAATTGCCTGCTGGTGAGCTTTGAAATTTTGGTGAAGCGTGCCTGGATGCGTATATCAAAGCATCCCCTCATCAGAGGGTTTCTCCAGCAGCCACTGTGCCTTTTGATTGTTCGTAAATATCAGTAGGCCTTCCAGCGCAACCGTGTCAAAACTTGGCTTTCAGTACGCTTTGAGAATTCGCCCAGGTAGGACGACGCATCGTCGTTCTCCTCCGCCTAAAGCGCATACTTCTCAGTGCCTACGTACATAATGTCTCCTTGCGCAGCGATGCGCAAACCCTGGTAAACAAGAACTCTACTGTTTCCGAATGGAAAGACGACGCTGAAGACGATAAGCAACGTTTCAAACGCGAGCAAACAACAGTTCTTTGTGAAAAAACTCTTTGCTGGTAGTGTACGTGATCTACAACTCGCAAAAATGTACGCACTATGACGTATGCGGGATCTACTGAAAGCTGAACGTCAGAGCAACACGATGCGCCCAACTATCAGCCCGTACAACGAAGCATAGCGCGTACCTGTACAGTTTAGCGCATGCACTTGACTGGTGCCACGCAAGTACGGACTCTCACCTCAGCAAATTTTGACAGGTCCTGTCACGTGACTGAAGTGCCTACTAAAAGAAAAAGAGATATTTTTTAAAAAATTATTCGAATTTTCGGGCAAAGCCCATCTTCAGGATGTATGGATATAGTGGATGGCTACAGTGAAGTCTTCGCATTTTGATCACTGTAGTTGTTGTGTAAATGCTGTATGTAATTTTACTGTTTGTTTCTTGTGTTGCTGCTGCCACCCTGCTGCTGTTGCTGCTGCTGCTGCCGATGCCAATGCTGGTGCTGATGCTGCCGATGATGATGATGATGGTGTTGATGACGGTTACGGTGATATCTGTGCTCAGTGATTGCAACCACCCTGCTGGAGGCTCTGGCTGATCCTGCCACACACACTGCAGCCGGTAAGCCGTTCAGTCATTCACTAGTATTCATGCTAGAAGTGCGCCGTTGAATGATGTGGTAGTTTTGTTGCCTTTGATAATCTGCTATACGTGTACTTCCTCCGGTAAATGAAAATTTCATGACTTCGATAGACCTGTCAGTACTGGTGAATCGAGCCTTGTTGAAACGGGCAATGGTGACTCGAATGAGACTCAAACGGTGCCAATTTACTTTGTGCAATAGTGCACCTTCTGAAAATTATCTTCAGTATTTTGTCTTGAAGTATCTTTGCTTCACAGAACCAAATTTCTTGAGCACAGTAATTCCTTAGAATATGATTGAAAAGGTCACAAAGGTTTCTCTATGGGACCCATACACTTCACGTACAAACTAATATGCGGTTTATAATCGTTAAATTTGCGACACGTTATAATAACATGTCTTACAGTATATGCATTGTACGTGTCTATCCATCAGGTCTGCAAGCACTCATGGACACGGCGTTCGTGCACATGATCGACGCCCCATCGCTGGCGCTGATCATGCCCATCCTGCAGCGCGCCCTGGACCAGCGCAGTACGGACATCAAGAAGATGGCATGCCAGATCATGGGCAGCATGTACACGCTCACTGATCACAAGGTATGTGTAGGTAGTCTGTCACCACCGCCGTACCGACAAGTACGGTTGCGCTCGCTGACGTCCGACTCAAAGTGAAAAGCCGGCGCTCTGTACCAGTTCCGATTACATCGTATCTGTGGTTTTGTACAATGTGTACGTCCAGCCGCATTCGTGCCACTTCCAGGGCGCCAAGTGTGCACTCTGGGTCGGATGTCACCGAGCGCAACTGTAGGAGCAACTTAGCAGCAGTACTGTACAGCCAACTTTGCGAATAACAACGGGCGATCGTGCATGAGAAAGGTGCCGTTATTCGCAAGTCGTCGTGATTTTGTCAGGTTGAAAGTACAGTAAAACCGGTCAAGGAGACCACTCGGATAAGGCGACCACCTGTCCTAGAAGACCACTGAAACCAGGACCAACGGCAAGGGATGCTATTTCCAGTCAAATGACCCTGTATAAAGAGACCGCCTGGTAACAGAGACCACGTTTTGAAGGTCACTTGAGCGGTCGTCTTAGACAGGTTTCTCTGTATGCAGTAACACGCAGTATTAACATGGTTCCTAGGTCAGAAGATTGTGTCGGTATTTGCGAGTTGTTGTTATACCCGAGTTGGTTACTGTAGGACTAGAACTAGAGAAGCACTGGAGCGTGCGCTCTTCTTTGCTTGATGGCATCTCATTGCTATGGTGAAGGAGCGGGAAATACGAATAGTGAGCATTGTACTGTCTGAGTATAAACACACCTATTACACTGTAAACCGGGAAACAACGTTAGCAACGTGTGTTTACAGCATGTCCTATAGACCTTATTCGATAACGTGATTTTTGGACTCGCCTCCAGGGATTTGTCATAAGCTAGGGCGCGCGTACGAGAAACGAGTGGCAAGAAAGGCCCAGTTCGTACAAAAGAGTAGTAAAATACCGGTATTTATCTACTCCTATGTTCGCACACAGAGTCCACTGTGCACTGAGTGCAGATCTCTTGCCACTCCCTGGTTCCCGGGACCCCGGTTCACGTGATTGTGACGTTTATCGAATAAGGTCTATTGTTGCATTCATGTATCTTTATACCCGTCTGGGCTTATCTTATGTAATTCCTTCCATAGAGTAGATGCTTTAGTTTGTGATTTGCAACCGTAATGTTGTGGGTTCGAATCCCAATTGATGTCGTTGAGGCGAAAACAATTTTCGTCTTTTCTCTGCTCAAAGGTGCTGTAAGTGAACGTTTCCCGCACTGCAGCATAAAATTCCAGAGAAACAGTAGAAGCTAGCTCCTTGTGAGCTAGTCCTCTCTGACATAAGGTGCTGATGGTCAGCTCTCTCCATACGCCACAGCATAAAAATCCAGAGACACATTACTTTTTCTTTTTTTCTTTTTTTTTTGTCGACATGTCTACACTAAAATGAATATCTCGCCTAAGTATGACTGACACTAAGGAGCTGCTGCGTATGCACCGTGTGTGTGGGCACGTTTGTGCGTGTGTGTGTGCGCGTGCGTATGTGCGCGTACGTGCTAACATGTATGTTGTGTGACAGGACTTGTCGCCGTACCTATCTGGTGTACTGCCCGGTGTCAAGGCCAGTCTTCTCGATCCTCTTCCCGAGGTAAGCATTTCACGTTTGTCTACTTGTGCTTGTCCTTCGCTTACACAAACAGTTCCTTTGCATACACAGACCGGTCATTTGCATACACAAACAGTTCATTTGCATCTTGTTATCGTCGCTTTTGTTATGTTGTTGTTGTTGTGGTTGTTGCTCAGGTTCGTGGCGTAGCAGCCAAGGCCCTGGGTGCCATGGTGAAGGGACATGGAGATGAGAGCTTTGCTGAGCTCATGCCCTGGTTGTTGGAGGTGTTGACTTCCGAGAGTAACACTGTTGACCGCTCTGGTAGTGCTCAAGGTGAGATTAGTACTCTGGTAGTGCTCAAGGTGAGATTAGTACTAGTAGTCATGCTTTGCTGTAATCTGTGTACTCAAACTGCTTCAATAATATCCCCCCCCCTCCGCAGGTGTACCAGCTGTGTCCCTGGGGCGGGTGTTGAGAAAACTTCACTATTTCATCTGTGTGCGTGTGTACGTGTGTGTGTGTGTACGTGTGTGTGCGCGCGTGCGTGTGTGTTTTTTTTGTCTTTTTGTTGCGTGTGTGACTAGGTATGAGCGAGGTCCTGGGATCGCAGGGTCTTGGCAAGCTGAGGGACATGATGCCGACGTTCGTCAGCGCCGCCCAGCAGCTAGACGCTTCACCTCACTACCGCGACGGTTACCTGATGCTGTTTGTATACCTGCCTGTTACGTTTGGTGATGCGTTTGTGCCGTTCATCAAAGACGTCATCCCACCTATTCTCAAGGTATGTGTGACAGTGGTCTTCGTCGTTTGACACATCCATGGCTCTAAAACTGCTGTCTGCCTATATGCTACGGCTCCCTGGTCAGCGTAGGCAATCCTTGTGTATGGAACTTCCAAACCCAGGGTCGATATGCGCATGGTTTCGCTACCTTTCGGGTGCAATGGTCTCGCGTGGTCTCCCTAGATGCTATGGCTCCCTGGTCAGCATAGGCAATCCTAGTGCATGGTGTATTGATGGTGTATCGCTGTGTGCTGTGCTGTGTGTGTATGTGTGTGTGTGTGTGTGTGTGTGTTTGTGTGTGGGTGGGTGCTGTGTAGGGATTGGCGGACGAGAGCGAGTACGTACGTGAGACAGCACTGCGCGGTGGACAGCGTATCATCAACATGTTTGCTGATACAGCCGTGGAGATCTTCCTGCCCGAGCTGGAGGCCGGCATGTTTGACGAGCACTGGCGTATTCGCCATTCCTCCATGCAACTTCTCGGTAGGTTTGGCTGCGCGTGCGTGTGTGTGTGTGTGTGTGTGTGTGTGTGTGTGTGTGCGCGTGCGTGCGTGCGTGCATGTGTGCGTACGTGTGTGTGTGTGTGTGTGTGTGTGTGTGTGTGTGTGTGTGTGTGTGTGTGTGTGTGTGTGTGTGTGTGTGTGCGAAAGCAGCAGGTGTGTAGGAATTATATGCCCGGATGTGTTGATTAGTATCTGTGTTCATGTACCAGTTTCTACATCTCCTTCTTTGCCCTACGCTTGTTTGTGTGTGGGGAGGGTTGTCAAACCCAATTTGTCTCTACCCTACAGTGCTGTATTAAAGTCTACAAATTTTTGGCCCATTTTTAACTTCGGCCTCCCAGGGCTAAAACGTATTTCGGCCGCATTAAATGTTCGCCCTGTACTGCTGCTGCCTGTATACACTGTCACTCTGAACCTTGCGAAACAAAATTTCGGCCGCAACAAATTTTCAGCCAAATATGACCAGGCCGAATATATGCCGAAAATAAATATGCACGGAATATTTGTCGACTTACAGTAGGTGTACAGTCGTCCCTCTCTAATCCAGCACTTTATAAACCAGCACCCTCGATAAACCAGCACATTTTTCAGTAGCCAACATGTCCTCTTCATGCACATTGTAGCAGTAAATCAGATTTGTTAATCCAGCACCCTCCCTAATCCAGCAGATTTCCGTGGTTCAAATGGTGCCGGATTATACAGGGACCGCTGTAGTCACCCAGCAGTGTAGTCTGCACCAGCAGTATTGATCTACTGCATCGTTGACTCCCTCCATTGTCCCGGTTAGCATTGTGCTACAAATTATTTGTTCTGGATGTGTGTGTGTGTGTGTGTTTGTAGGTGATCTCTTGTACCGTCTGTCTGGTGTCACTGGCAAGATGACCACAGAGGGCGACGAAGACGAAGGATTCGGTACTGAGACTTCGCAGAAGGTGAGTTCTAACAGCTCATCTGAATGTCTGTTTACGTGCTGAGCGTGAACCAGGAGTAGTAAAGTACCGGTATTTTACTACTCCCTGGCGTGAACAAGTGTCCGTTTCCTTGCTCTCACACAACTGCACACCGCTTCTCTTTCTCTCTTGATATTGTGCTTGTGTTTGCTTGCCCGATTTGTAAGAGGAGGGATTTTCCTGCCGTGCTGCCACCCGCAGTTGATTGGGAACTCGTGGCTTGGCACGAGGGAAACTTGGATGCGGAGAATGGGATTTTCGGTCTTGACTCTTTAGCCACTGGGTCGTGGGTCTGATCTGCACACCTCCCACCGCTTTAGAGCTG